TCGAAATTTAGCAATCACACATAATCCAAATTTTCGACTCAATACATCACAAAGTCCCGTCCAACATATAATGACACACCAGTCACAAGATGATAATACTTATGAACAAATTATTGAACAACCCCATACCACCGCTTTTCAGTCTCAAAATAATAATTTTTTTAGCCCACGATGAGCCGCCAACTTGGATCACTACACCGATCAAATTCCCATCCAACCAATCTTACCTCTTCAATCCCAATCATACCACTTTTTGCTTTTCCGCCACCCGATTTTCCATCTAGCAATGTAACATCAGGCATGAATTCCGACACTAACTCACATATTTCAGTTTTATACTCCATCTCACAGCTAAATAACCCGAATATTGAAACCCCCGATGAATTTGCCGACTCAGAACCATCCCCATCCAATAATTTTCATAACCCTTCTAATTTTTCTCAACCTCCTTTTCAACCCATATTGTCCAATAACCCTGACCCAATCACTCCGACACCCTCTTATGCTTCCCAAGTTACCCCAACCTACTCCTCATACCAATCTGACCAATCATCTCATTCTCCAGACACCCCCCGAATCTCCCCAGAGCTAGATAATTTTATTACCCTCCAACAGCAACCCTACCACCTTAACAACCCGACCATAAACCAAATCTCCTCCACTACAATTTCATCCAATCCCCCTACACCCTCTTCAAATTATACTGAATCATTAACACCATCATCCACATCCACTATATCTTCACTAAACACTAATAGAGCTTACCGCACTTTTAAAAGAAAATTCCCCAACCATCCTTTCCCAGCAAAACCAGGAACAGCCCGTGAATACATCAACCACCCCCAGCATACTAACACTAAAGAATTTTTAGCTATCACCTTACCCTCGTTTCCACAATACACTTTAAACACCCCTCACGACGCTAACGAAACACGCAACTTTGTAGATGAATACGTTTTAATGCCCACTCTCTCTTGGACCTCATACTATCATTTCACTAACCCTCTTTGCTTACCTTTATCCAGCACTTCCATCGATATAGAACGAAACAAGGACATGCTATATCAACTCACTACACCACTAACCGCTAGACAATTTACTTACGTTGGATATAAAAAATCACTAAAAATACACACTGCACCTAGAGCTAATGAATATACACTAGAATACTACGATCACAACATCATTAGAGCTAACCAAGATCAATTCTTAGACGACGATCGCTTCGCTAATCCTCAAATCACCGAGAAATTTTTCATCAAGACACCATATATATTTACACTAAACATCTTCGACCGCAAGTTTGATCACATTATTTCAGAAGCACTAACAGACACACAAGCATACGAAAGTTTTAAAGAACGCTTCCAAATATTTTCACTAACCTTTCATTTCCTTGCACCACACGAAAGAGATTTACACTGCTCACACGATATTATGTTGCGCACTAAACAAACACATACATACAGTTACTATCGTTTCATCCAAAATCACTTTGACCTACACACACCCTCTAGACAACCACACCATCGTTTTCAATTCATTAATTCCAAATACACTTCACCATTTTTCCTAAATTTCACATATTGTATTAAAGACACTAACCTCCATGGTATTCTTCGTAATTATGACCCCATAACCCAAATGTACATTTTCTGCCCCATCACCAAAACCTTCAACGCCGAAGAATCCCGACCCTTCCTTATCCCGCACGAGTTCCTACAACCTATAGAAATCCCAATTTTAGAATTCATCCACAACACTAAATTCAATCACAAATTATATAACTTAATCCAAAACACACCTTATGAGTTTGCAGTAGGCACTGAAGAACTAACCACTATCAAGGCACTTCAATTGCTTTGGCCACTGCTTCAAACTAAAAATATCATCCGCATCTTAGCTAAACTACTAACAACTTCAGAACTAATTCACGACATCTTCCCCCACGGTTTTTTCCCCGACGACTAACAGGTAAGTATGAATTAAGTAAATATTACTAATTAATTACAGTATTAAAAAACTCACCATACTTTATCCATGTTTTCTTTAGATTTTTAGCCCTTCATCCGACGATCACCTACAAAAACCACAAAAGACAAATAAAAATCGCAAATTTCATCAAACAATTTTAAAATTCTATTAATCTCTTACACTTATAAATTTCTAAATTTAATATAAATGCAGTAAATTCATCTATAATATTTTCCCCCAAAGCAGTAAATCTGATTATGATGAAAATTTGTATCTTAAAATTCCCCCATAACTAGCAGTAAATTTCCAAATTCTATGTAGTAAATTAATAAAATGCAATTGCAGTACTAACCTTTTGATATTTTCATTCATTCGCACAGAAATTCTATCCACACTCGCACAGCTCGCCCACGAAGAATTGTTTAAAATAATGAATTTCAGTTTCAAGTTTTCACACTCAACAACTCTAACATACAATAACATGTTTCAAACTTTCCTTTAACCCGGTTGGAAAGGAATCATATACTAAACAAAACTAACCAACGCAGCTTACTAAATACCACAAATCATAGAATAACAGCATGACTTAGAAAAGGAAACCAACGGTACCCAAACCGGATTAACCCAGTTTAAAACTGGATAATTTATTCTTTTGAAGACTATTATAAAGTCTTAGAAAGAAATAAAAAAACACAAAAAAGTCGAAAGACAAACCCATACCACAAACAATTTGCTTTTTGGAAAAAGTACATAACCAACAAGACATAAGTAAAACCACAACAAACCCAACATAAAACGTTGTCACATAACAGGACCCCTCACAAACACCGCATGAAATCATACTCCCACTCCTGGCCTAACCCACCAGGAAAGGACGTCCTGAGCATGCTCTATAGCCGGCCTAACCCACCGCGCTACATCCACGCTTTGTGACCACACCTTTATTTTTAATAAGAGCTACTCAAGGGTGAGTAACTCTTCAAAATAACCGAACTAAAACAAAAAGCTTTTGTGAAAACAACTAACTAAAATCATTATAAAAAAATATTAAACTAATAAAAATTTTATAAAATGTAAAATCACATGATGCAATATATAGATCAGAATACAACACCAAGGACGAACATCAAAAGACAAGACGACCTCACTACACTCGAGAGAGAATGACCAACTACAATCGATATGCCGCTCACAATCACAACTCAAAGGATTTAGAGTACGACTTGACTTCGCAGAAAAGGACTTCATTGAACTAGACCAATGACCACCTCGATGTTCAAGTATACGTACAGATCCGAGTAACCAGGCATCCCCTCCACGCACAATCTCCACGCCATTCCCAAACTAGATCATACACAAAAGAAGTTCTCCACGCAGAACAGAAAAACCTGACATAGCCAACCATTCTGGAATCAGAATTGACTTTGTTGCAGAGACTCAGTCGTTGTCACAAGAAGAAGCGAAAGAAAATTATGATGTTCGCCAAATACCAACGTCCATCATCCACCCTTGAATTACAGAAGAACTGTTCTAAAAAACTCTGTAAAACCCGGATGGGTGGAACCTGATCTAAACTATATTTTATGATTGGATAAATTAAATGTTTTACCAATGTAAAGTATTTAATATTAACCAATCATGATCCATCTAACTAACAACCCACTTATTTGTAAGTGCTGAAGTTACTTGTAATTTCAGCACCAGAGAGATTTGAATTTAACTTAGAAATTAGTTGGACTCTCCCGAGCACTTCAGCAGCCGCAATAAACCAGTATACCCTAGATCTATTGAGCCTAGCAGAGACTAGTTAAACAACCTGAGACTAGATAGTATAAGAGTAAGATTAGGATCGGTATTAGACTAAGAAGTTGCACGAATCTATCCGGCCGAAAATAAGATAGCGTGACGAGCAGACGGTGTACCCTATCCGAAATTACTCTATGAGTTACACTTCGGTCCTAACTCACATTTTTTACCAAGTTTTGATTTTACCAAGCTTCAATATTTTAGCAAGATAAAGAAGTAGGCTATTGTAAAACGAAACTCTGATCGATTATCCGAGCAATGTTCTTCGATCTGTCATTCATAGGGAAATTGTACAAACCAGGGTTTATGACCCTATGTGGCCGAGGGAACTGGAAATATTGCACATCAATTGGAACGAGATATTGCATCAGCTTGTCAAACCCAAAATGACCATGAAGTGAAATTGACACAGATGATTTGAAATGAAAGATTTAGTCAGGCGCGAATAGGTGCGAGTCATAAGGAGACATATTTCTATAATAGCTTCTTACAATATATATCTTTATTAATGGTTGGGAGGTGTTTAATACTAGCCAAAATTTTTCACAATTATTCCTTAAAAAATATACTGGAAAAACTGACTATTTCATTAATCATTTTTACAATATATAGATTAAAGTTGAATTCAAACACTAATAATTTTCAAGAAAAAAAATTAGACCCAGAAAAATGAGAGAATGAAATCATTACTGAACTAAGAAGTTCCACGTTTCTACCCGGTTAAAAAAAAACAACATGACAAACAGAAGATGCACTCTATACACAGTTACTCCATGAAATAGATATCCATTCTCTTCTCACTAGCTTTTTTTCCAAAAAAAAACCTCAGATTTTTGGCCTAAAATAGTTTTAAGCGCTAATAATCAATTGAAACACCTTGAATCAGCTCGATAATTAGCTTAAAGTTATCCGAAAAAAAAATCAAAAATTTAAAAAATCTAGCCATACAATTCGTATATTATGGAATTTGTATGACTACGATTTGTTCATAGACCAATTAAATGGTATTATAGAAATAACTTTTTCTCATAGAAAAATTGTATGGAATTGTATGGCAATCTTTTTTAGTGTTTTGAGGTTAACTCGGTTCAGTTTTGAGGTTAACTCGGATCGTTGTTGAGTTAATTTTTCTAAAGAAACATTTCGAAAAAAAAACACTAATTGGCAGGACTTTTTTCTGCATCAGAAACTTGCACGACGTAATTGTTGGTTATTGAAAACAATTTACATAAGAATTTATTTCAATTTTCAAATAAGGAAAAGTTAGGGCATTATTTATTATAGGCGGCATAGCTGACAACTCCAAGTTTTGGTATCAACTTTCACAAGTTTGTAATTAGGATTCAAAAATGAAATTTTGGCATGCGAGAGAGATGAAGATAGATTGAGAGGTTTTGGGTTTTCATTTTTTTGCCATTTCTAAAATCTCGTCGTGTATCGTAGCGCGAGACATGAAACTGTTCAGCTTTAGGTCAAGCCGGCGTTTGGCCAACCCTCGCCCTGTGAGGTTTTGGTTCGGCCTGAAAACTGAAATGCGTGAACAAAACACGACCTTTTCCTTGATTCGAGGGAACATTTTTGATAATATGTTTGCTATTACTTCCGTTTCCGAAATCTGTTCGATTCTCAACTGCATCAAAAACAGCTTCGAGTTATCAAGAGCCTCGTTGACGTCTTTAATAACCAGACCGGTTAGTAAATTGAAGGTTATAACTGTGACGGAAACGACGAAGAAGATCGCGAGAATGAGACGTGGATTGTATTGACCCGAGTGGGTATCGAGTCCCATATCGGTGGAGTCTACGCTTCCGATTGTCATCACCGCTATCTTCATCAGGAACCCCTGGAAATCATCCACTTCAACTGTCTGTGAGTCGGGGGCGTATAGCGCATAGAAGGTAATCCCGAATGAGAAAATAAGAAGAACGAGTGGGAAAATGACCCCTAGAAAACTAACGAAAGCGTTTTGGAACATGATTGAGTAGAGGCCGAGGATGGTGCTGCGTTGTATGACCTTGAAGAAGTTTTGCCATGTGACTGAAATCAAAATATTCTTTATGTGACTTCAAACTTCTAAATGCCAAAAAACATAAGCTCAATAACTGTGACAATCACAGATGTTTTTATACTTTTATAAAACATACTTTTGGGGTGCCTCTTTTTTTATCAAATTCCGGAAAAAAAACTATTATGAATGGACAATTTGAATGAGTTTTTTTGATAGAATATTCCCTCCTTTATCAGATAGTTAAGTTTAGTAGTTTTTTATAACTTTTATAAAAAACTACTAAACTTAACTAACTTAAATAATCCTTCTCAATTTCAAACATTAAATGATCAAAAGCTTAAGAGAACATAAATCATCAAAAAAACCATGAAAGTGGATTCAACTTACCGAGGATGAGGAAAGAGAACCAGCAGAACTTCTCTCTGTAGTTCTTTTTCACTATCTCCGGAATCTCCTCGCAATTCTCATACTCTGGCTTGCAATTCTGCCGGAAGGCTATCAGTGCCGCCAGAATGATTCCCACATAGAGTACAAACTGTATGTAGTTATAAAACGACGACATGTATGCTCGAATGCCACCAAAGATGTGAAGGAAGTGTAAAAATAACGACGCGATTCCCATGAACAGCAGTCCTGAAAACACGATTGTGTTGTAGGAGCCCGCTTTCCATTCTAGAATCGCGACTGTAGTTAGCAGAGCGAGCAAAAAAGCCCAAACCATTTGCACTCTAAAGACCAAATTGGGAAGCTTTCTCCAGTGATGTCGTTGCAACATCTTCATGATCGGGTTTTGAAGTAAATCAGGACTGTATTCGGACGCTATTCGTAAGATATCCGAGTACTTTTTATCTTCGGTGTTTGAGCAGAACTGGACAGAAATCTCTGCGTCGTTTATTATCTGCCAATTAACCGCCACTTCCAAATTATCGTCATGGATACCCCAGCCAGAGCATACGACCATAGACTTTATTATGGCATCTGCGACTATCGGGAACCTTTTGACAGCTATCTTCAAAATTTCCTGGTCCATTTTTGAGTACTTTTCTTTGAAGATGTCGTGGTTGTTTGCAGGCAAGGATTCGACCCACTTTACTTTTGGATCTGCTTCCAGTCCAAGAAAGGCTAAAAGTGTTTCTTCCCGACTGAAGTGTTCCATCACTGTCTTACCACGGTCACTCCGGATGAGAAGCCAGTTGGTGTCCAGGGGCGTTTTGTCTTCGCCTTTGAGACTGTCGATTATCTCTTCATCTAGACACGTGCCTGCGAGACAGTGAAGAGGAGTTCGGCCATTAGAGTCGGAAGTTTCCCTGAAGTCATGAAATATAGTTTTCAAAAAAATTTTGAAAGAAAACATGTACTAGTTTTGATATTTATAATTAACTTATAACATTCAACATCGCAAAATGATATCAATTTCAGTACTGATTTTTTTTCATTACTTGAGTTTTTGAAAATTTTTCGCGTATGAGGTTTTTTTTGTTACTATATGCAAAAACTCATTTAAAGAACCTGCTTATTTAAAGCGCGCGTTTATAGTTCAATGTGAAAATGAGTAGTTACATTTAAAAACGAAGAAAAGCAGCAAAAAATGACCGATAAATTAAATTTTGACTTACGCCAAACACGTAAGGTCAGCGCGGCACGTGACTTTAGGGGTCAAAGGGTAGTTGACCAACACCATCACTATATCTTTCAAACCCTTCTGACACGCACACATAAGACATTTCCACAAGACATAGCGCCCGCCATATTTATGTAGACACTTCCCGAACGACTCATGTTCTAGAATATTCTTAAGAACGTCACTGTTGTTTGCAAAGACACATGCCATCAAAGTATCCTCGAAGTTTTTCGAGTTGATCATACTGCCGCCCAGACATTCTTGAAAAAATTGACCAATCAACGCTTGAGTTGACCCCGATTTGTCCTTTTCGATTGCGTGCAGCAACGCGTTGCAACTTTTATTTCCTGAATTCTCGACAACATTGGCACCGGAATTGATAAGTAATTCTATGTGTTCGGAGTTTTCCATGTAAGCGGCCTCTTTCAGTGCTGTTTTTGGACCGTGTATCAAAGTCGTTGTCATTTTGTTAGATTCAATGTTCGAATGGTTGAGCAGAATTTCCAGAAATTTGACTCGTTTACATCTAGCTGCGACCATCAAAGGCGTGTCTTTAGTGGCCGCCTCGACATTGACGTCGCATGATTTGTGTGACGAGAGGAATTCGACTATATGATCGCGTTCTAATTGAATAGCGAGAACTAGTGGCGGGATTCCAGTCAAGTCGGGTTTGTTGATGGGCACTCCGTTGTCTACCAAGGACTTGACAGCCCAGAAGTTTCCTTGAATTAAAATTTTAGATTTTAGTAAATATTACAAATTTCTCTCCTTAAAATAGTTCATCGTACCAAAAGAATCTCACCCCCTAACCCGAACTCTCGAGATTTTGGTTCAGAAACAAGGACCCGTTTTTCGATCAAAAAAAACTGTATTTATCAACTATCTATATGCAAACTTATCAGTAACGGGATGAAGCTTTCTACAACAGGGGCAATGTTGAGGGGTTTTAAACAGGCTTCGATGAAAAGCGTACACAAAAAAAAACTGATTTTTTGGCAAAATTCTTTTTTCAATTTGTTCAGTTTTTGAGAAAAGTTTCCTTCTGTGATAGCCTAATCCTTAAACATTCGAGATTTACAGGATTTTCGGATTAACTCTTCGGATTTGATCAAAAATTTCAATAACCAACGACAAAGAATGCTTGCTATTTATGACAGAAGCCCAACAGAGAAACTTTATTAAGAAATTAAGTCTCAACTTACGTGATATTTAGCTCAACTCGATACTAATCGAAAGTGAAGAATAAAGTTTAATCCGAAGGTACGCTCTTGATATCGAGCCGGTCAAACTATACCAGCTCCTCCACACGCGGCATATTAGTAAGTCATATCAACAGTTTCATAAGTTTATAATAAAATGAACATGGGTTTATACCAACCGAAAATAGGACAAGCCACCCAGGTACAAAAATGATAACAGTTCCAAAAGTAAGAAATATTTACACAGACTTATACTGAAATAAAGATCCAGGTTATTCGGATGCTTGTAAGCTTGTACACGATTAGAGATTGTATATGTTTTTTCAAAGAGCAAGCGGAAAAAACGTACAGCCGACAGAAAAAATACAACGCGAAAAATTAATTTAGCAGCGCTGCTTGGCTGCTATATACTGGATATTGCATACAGAAGGCAGGAAATAAATCTATCACATTTACTCCCTTTTTTCCACCCTCTTTTTTCGGTCCGGTAGATTTCAGATACTTATCGTGCTGAAATTAAATTTGTCTGCTATATATGCCTTTTCGTTTTCAGATGAGCAATTTTTCTGTAATATTTCTTGCAAAATCGTCTCGTCAAAAAATATTACATAAAAAATGTATATTCGTGTACAAAAAAGCATATAGCAGACAATTCTACTTTCCATAAGTACCTGACAATTTTGAGATGAAGTGTTCATTTTTTCAACAAACTCCACAAAAAATTAATTAAACTGAGTTTCAGCTTTTTTCAAGCCTGACTGTTTTAATCTGACACCTTCTTTTCTCCCCTACATGCATATTTTTACCTGTTGGTCAATGGTTGTGCAATATAACTTAGCTATCTTGGAGTAATATTAATAATTCAGAGGGGATGTTGGAAAAGTGTGAATGAAAACCCGCTGTCTCAAAAATTACGATAAATTGGATTAAAAATATCCCAATTGTGAACAAAAGAGAGGTAAACACTTGATAAAAAACAAACCAAAATGTAATATTTTTAAGGTGATCAATGAATGCTACCTCTATGCGCCAAAGTTTCACTTATTCACTTTTCTGCAGAAGTTAGAAATAAATGCCTGGCTGTCTGGGCATGAGGAAAGGAGAATTGAGAAGCGTGAATTTTAGCTTCCTGAAGGAAATAGTAATTGCTACAATATTTCGAAATGTTACCGAAAAGCGGAAACCAGGAAGCCAGAATGCCGCAAAGTGGAAATCATGAGCAAATTTCATCCGAATATTCAATCAATTTACGGAGGCGGCAACTGAGACGAAAATCAAACTAGACGCGTTTTGGAAATATTATAACAACCTCCTCTTAAAGCGTTTTAGAAGGGACGAGGATGATAATTGTTCCGACTTTCGATACGAAAGTAACGGAATATTTGTGCTCGGGGTGGGTTTATTTTTCTTCAGACAAAGTTCGACTTTTTAACTAGACATTTTTGACGGAATTTTTTTATATCATTCAAAAGGTATTGTTGTCCTGAGCTTAAATTTGAAAAGATATTCCACCTGTGATAATTTTTCGTAAAGTTATTAGGGTTTAAAGATTTTTTAAAGATTTAAAAGATTATGAAGGTTTGAAGATGATTTTCATAAAAAATTTCAAATTTTAGAAAAAAAAATTTTCATTTTATTTTATTTCATTTAATTTTTTCATGTTATTACTGCTTCTCCATATACCTTAAAAGGCAGTCCGAACATTCAAGGCTTCGCCCTGATACGAGCAGTCTTGTTTGGTTTTAATATAGATTTTTCAAGCTGCCAATCAGCGATCAGAATCAAGTATTTTACCCACTGCGCTATAAGAAAAATCTTAACTAAGCCAATTCAGGAGAAATGATAACAAACCTAGTCGATCAAGGGAGGTTATCTTGCAAAGTCTTGCAAGATAACCTTCTTCATTGAAAACTTTTTTTTCAAGATCTTTGAAGATACGATTTTTTTGGGCAAAACCAGCTTTACACGCGAAGACAACCAAGTAGCGTTCGAGCAAGAAGGAAGCAATCTTAGCTACAAATGCATGAGTTACATGACCTGTTTCAACTAAAAATGAGATTAAAAAAACGGACGACAGACCCTAATTTTTTTCTAAAGGCGCCTTCAGCTCCAATATATACTATTTTTGAGGGGGGAGCGCTTGACGAAAGAACGCAATTTTTTGGGGAAAATTTTCCAAAAAGTGACTAAAAACGCCTTTTTTGGCTTGTTTTTTTTTCAAAATTTGCCTTCGGCGCAGAAAGTTTGGTAAAAATGTAAAAATGGGGTCTCTATACTGATTTAGGAGAGCTCAGAAAATCAATTTGGTCGACCTAGAAAAAAAGTCGACAAAATCCCCCCCCCCCCCCCTCGAGAAAAACTTAAATCTGCCCCAGTCACTGAACATGGTACGATGATTCTCTGCATAACTTAATTTCGCATGAAAACAAACAGCATAACTCAAATTATTTTTCTTCTTAATTCGAGCAAACTGAAAAGAACTATAAAACCTGTGCTTTAAAAGAACCGCAGAGTTTTAAATGAGTCAGAGTTAATTTAATTACTCCCAAGTTTAATGAGGGTGGAAAAAATTTCATTTAGTTGAAGATGCTTGGTGTATATTAGTCTTATGGAAGTGATAGCTGCAATAACGAACCTGCTTTTATTGCCTCTGAGAGGGCCTTTAGCGCCTGGTTCGATCCCTTCGGATCCTCCAGGTAGAACTTGCGATAACGCACCAACAGCTCTGGGATCAAACCACCGTCTTGTTTTCCTTGATCTTTGTCCCCATCCGTACAATAATTAGCAGCCGCTATCTCTATCAGGCTGTCCAATTCACTCGTTTCCTGAAAAAAAAGTTTAAACATATAATTGAGTAGTATGGCGAGTTAAAACAGCCGGTCGCATTATCTGGACCGAGACTTGACAAGCGTTAATTGCTTAAGACGGTGCTGATAGTGCAAGTGACTGTAAATGCATCAGACCATAGCAAAACTTAGAAGCAGTTTAAGTATTCAGATATTTGTACTAGACAAGTTAAAGAGTGTTTTTTTTTTTTCAAGAAACAGAGTTTGAGGATCCGATTTAATTTCAGTGCTTTGCTTAATCAAAATTATGACGGTTATTTTGTGGTGAGCACAGGAGTTGGGATAGAGGAGACATTGCGAGTTAGTTGTGAGCTCCAAAATAAAAAAAACTGAACAAACATGCTACTCCTAATTGAATCTCTTTCAAAAATTTTTACCTTACTTTCAATTTCAAATACAAAAATAAATTTTACGTCTTTGAAAGCATTTTTAGTCTGTCTCAATTCTGATAGGATTGATCTGTGAGCCGCATTATAGTTCGCAGCCTACGCTATACGTTAAAAAAAGACCGGAAAAATATGAGTCTTAATTATCCTAATTTAGTTAAATTGGAAATTTTTCTAAACACCACAGCCTTGCAAAAAAATGAAACATATATTTTTTAAATTTTGCTTTTAGAACATCAAAAACCTGATTTATGTATTGCGAGATCCTGAGTGCTTTCTTGGCTGATATTTTTTGACAAGCCCGCGCTTTTTTTTCATTGCGCTTGTTTGATATAAGAAAGAGTGCAAGTCAAACAACGCCAAATTCTTAACCAATTTTCTAATTTTTGGAAATAAGGAAAAAAATAGCGTGAAATACATTTTCTCAACACTGAAGCAGTTAGACTTCATCTGAATAAATCGAAAACGTATTAGGGTAGGCTTTAAAAACATGTTTCTGATTACAGTGTAAGACAGATGATTGGGTAGGATAAACAAAATAAAAAGGAATGAATTAGAGCAGACAACCTCTGAAATGAAATTATGCCGCCGTTTCTTATTTTTTTTCGTCACCAACAAGATACTCACATTACCATGGTCTTTTTGCTTTTGAAAATGAAAACATTTTTGTCTACATGAAAGCTACACTTAAGTTTTTCCGGCCCATTATTTTTAAAACTGATCTTTGCTAAGTTTTTTCTGGGTTAATTTTGGACCAATTTTAACGTATTAGATAAATTGATACGCTAAAAATGAAATGCACAGCTATTTGTTCTGACCACGTCACTGAATGTGACTGCAAAAAAATTGAAAAATTTTTCGCCAGATCTTAGCTACGCTATTTTTAGCTCTGATTGTTTCAATGGGACACCCTAATCCGTGCGTTTTTTCAGGACGCTTAGTAGATAAAATTTTCAGGACGCTTGGTAGAATAAAATCATTTAGGAATGTTTTATCTGAGTTTCCAACAACATGGCCTGTTAGCATATGTTTCTCGACAAGAATCCCACAAAAATGATTTGAAATTGACTCGATCATTTTTGTTCAGACTATTTTGAAAAACGACGGAAAATTTATATGACGGAATGACCAAAAAATGACGGTATTTGTGATGAGTATTTGTGCTGGGGGAGGGGCGGTATCTCCAGACCAATTTCGACTTTTTAACGAGCCATTTTTGGCGGATGTTTTATACTTTTCGAAGTGTATAGTTTTTTTGAGCTCAAATTTGAAACGATTTTTCATTGTGACCTTTTTTCGTGAAGGTATAAAATATACGAAGTTTGTCTGGAGAAAAAGAAACCACACTGAGCACAAATATTTAAAAGCGGTCAAAAGAATGAAGCATGCAATTTCTTCTGTTCAATATTTATCCGAATTATGACACTTTGCACTTTACGTAGCGTGTTGGGGATCAAAAAGAGCGTGTGGGGGATGATTTTTTTTTTGAAATTTTTATCTTTTTTTTAAACGAACTCTTATCCATAGGCCTCAAAGGGCAGTCGGAACATTCAAAACTTTGCCTTCAAACTTTGCCGAATCATTTGGTACTTTGCATAGCGAGTGGCGCGAAAAAGTATCAAAAACAAGTTGAATTTCATTACTGGGCCAAACTGTGCATTTTGTGAATTGAAAGCGGATTCCGCAACAAGGACGCTCCTTTTGTCCTTCTTTTGCTCTTTCTTTTCTTTTGATAGTTCCGAAAAATTTTTAACATGTTCACAGACTTGTCTCTGGAAGCCAGGAATATAGAGACACAAAATTGTGCGCCTATCCAGTCCACAGTTTGGCCTCGTATGTTTTTTTTCGAAAAATTTTATTTTTCTTAGAGCAAAAACTACTTCATAGACCATAAAAGGGAATCAAAACATTCAGGGCTTCACCTGACAGTACTAGTCTTGCTGTTCCGACTTTCGTAACGAAAGTAACGGGATATTTGTGCTCAGGGTTCGTTTATTTTCTTCAGACTATTTTTGACGGAATTTTTAAATCTCTTTCAAAAACTACTGAGCTTAAAATTGAAAAGATATTTCACCTGTGATCATTTTTTTAAATTATGGGAGTTTAAAGATTGCCATTTTGGACAATTTAACGCGCGATATATTTATGGTTACTTATGCGTGAGCGGAGATTTAATCGGTCTTAGAATTGATTTGATAATGGATACTACAATTTTTTCATGTTATTAGAGCTTAAAAGGCAGTCGGAACATTCAGGGCTTCGCCCTGATACGAGAAGTTTCGTTTCAAATTGGGATTGCACAGTTTTGCATATTAGATAATTCCGTGTGCAGTTCGAAAAATTTCAAATCTGCGAAAACAAATTTTTAGGTCGCTATTGGATCTGAGTGTTGCCAAATACATTTCGCGAATTCATCTTAAGTGCTTGGTCTATTTGGTGTAGACGAACAACTAAAAAAAATATTGTATGCTAACAAGCTCACATGCTTAGCTAACAAGCTAACATGCTTAATGCAGCGCCCCAGTTACTAGAACTTTAAAGGGTAGCTTTTTGTTGGATTAGGTTACAAAAACATATTGAAAGCAATACTCAGGAGTCTAAAAGAACAATACTTAACCGATTGCTAAAAAAAGCAGATAAAAAAAAATAAACGGAAACATGATATACAAACTTATTGTTCCGACTTTTGTAACGAAAATAACGGAATATTTGCGCTCGGGGTGGGCTATTTTTCACAGACAAACTTCGACTTTTTAACTAGCCATTTTTGACGGAATTCTTTATTATCATTCAAAAGGTATTGTTGTCCTGAGCTCAAATTTGAAAAGATATTTTACCTGTGATCATTTTTCGTAAAGTTATGGGGGTTTAAAGATTGCCATTTTGGCCAATTTGGGACAATTAACGCGCGATATATTTTACTGAGAAACTAACCATTTAAGCAAAGCTTAATAATTTTGAAGATGAAAACTATTTTGCAACACCAATTAAGTTTACACCTAATCAGAAAAGGTTAATAACTGTAATTATTATTATTTTAAAAAGCTTGCGGCGCGAATGGTTACACAGTCCTTTGTATTTGACATAAAATAGACCGAAAAAATTTTTAGTTACCTTTTTGACTAGTTGCTCTTCGTTGGAACTTTCCAGTACTTTCAGTGCAACCGAAGCGTGATTGAATCCAGCTGCAATCATAGGCACTGTTCTCTCTGTTTTGGCAATCACTTGCATCGGGTTCGCTCCCAGATGGAGCAGCGCTGGAACTAGTTTGTCCAGACCCAACACCGCACTCCATTGGAGAAGGGACAAACACCTGTTTTTAGTCTCGTTTCTGAAAAATGTTAGCTTTTATCTCAACTTCTCAATGTCTCTTTTTGGTATCTTTTTCTCGATTTACAAGATTTGTGCCTATTATTTGGCTCTAACAAGATGTCGTAATGTTGTGAGCATTTTTGATTGATTCTTTGATATTGTAATGATTTGAGACGCAGTTATAGACAAATTAGATCGAAAAAAAGGTTTATTCGTTTATGCAAAAAAAGTTTGAAGAAAGATGTGAGACAAGGTTTGTCTTGTCTGTGTTTACTTCAGTTTCTCCAGCTTTTTGGCGTCTTCCTTGTGTTTGATCTCCATCTGAACAGCTCCAAAGGTGTCGCTGAAACAACATTTTTTCAAATATTGCAAAAAAAAGAGTTTTTTTTTTAATTTTTGGGCCGAGAATATATTTCTGTCTTTATCGTGAAAAATAAATTGATGACCGCGACATCATTCAAACTTGATTGATGGATGAATTGCGGGTTTTTTTCCTTCAATAGTCTAAAAGTTTTACACTACATTCTCGACTCAGGTTCGTTATGTTTCCCAGGATTTGCAAATTTTGACCCGGTATTTGCAATTCGACTCAATTCGTCCGGAAAACAGTAACAGTAACTTCTAATTTCATGTATATAATTGTACGAACAAATTTCTAAAGACCAGTTAGACTTGGATGTTCTTCATGAGCGATTCGTAGACTGCGCCGAACTAAACGCTGCACTGCCTCAAATACTTTGCTTTGCCCGTTTTGACGGCAATCTCTAATTGTTTTCTTGTTTTCATTTTTTTATAGTGACGTGTTTTTCCATCCACCAAAAAAGTCAGAGGCATCACGAAAATTTTCTGGATTTTTGTTGCAAATAGAAAAGTGCTGGCATTTTTTTTTTCAAAATTTCAAAAGGTATTTGAAATTTGCAAAAAAAACGGATAGAAAAAACATGAGAAAAATTTCTAATTGCTACTAAAAAAAACTTGAATAGTTTTGAAAAAAAAATAAAATTAATGCCGTTAGTTTTTATAATTTTCTTGAGCAATTTTGAAATTAGTTTTTTTAATGGACATTACTGCTTGCAGCACTAAAGATAATTTGTTGAGTAGAAAGTTTTGCTCAAGTGACAATTAAGCTTACTTATAATATGATCAAGGCTACAAAATTGATCATTGAAACCCATATAAATACGTTTGAATTCCTGAAGTGTACATTTTAAAAAAAATGATTTTGATTGACATTAAATAAATTTCAGTCAACCAAAGACGCTTTTTGTCATTGCGAGTATGTTTTGAAATTGCGTTCGGCTTTATGTTTCAATTTTTTCTGTTCAAATTTATTATTCAACTTTGAGTTCGGCTATAGGGTCATCTCGACCAGCTATTATTGGTTGAACAATGACACGTGCTCTGCCCACCTCGGTCAAAAATTAAACCGCAAAACTCACACCGGGTTTCAAAAGTTCGGAATTTTTTCCACTTTATTTGATTGTATTGATATGAAAAATGAAAAAAACTGCTCGTATCAGGGCGAAGCCCTGAATGTTCTGACTGCTTTTTAAGGTCTATGGAGCAGCAATAACAGGAAAAAAACTAAGTTTAATAAAATAAACTTAAAAAAAACATTAAATTTGAATTTTTTGTGAAAATCATCCCCCCCACCACACGCCATATAAGTACAAAGTGATAGATTTCGCTCTTAGTAACAAATCAGTTATGGCAAATAAGTTTCCTTCAGCCAATTTGGAACAACTTCTAAGACGAAATAACTCTCCGCTTGCGCGTTAATAGCGCAAAAAATATTCGAAATAATTTTGATATTCAAATTATTTTGAAGAAAAAAACCAACCCGAGCACAAATATTCCGTTACTTTCGTTACGAAAGTTGGAACAAAAAGTATACTAACACGGCACAATCGATATTTGCAGTTCTGACTGCTGTTTGAAATAGCTGTCTCAGCGCCTTCCTCCTCTCACTTTCCCCATCACACGCCAAGTCAAGCACTTTTTCTATGTCGAAACCTGGAGAAAATGATAGTCAAAAATTTAGGCAGAAACCTGAAGGAGGTAATTGGATGCTTGTGATAAATCAGTTAACCAAAACCTGGACAAAACATTGATTAAATTTCAAAACCTTGATGTAATTCAATTTTGTTTTGCAATTTTCGTGGAAATACAGACCAAACTTATTGCAAAAATTCAAAGTTTTTCTGCAAACAATGAGTTGCTCGTCCCAAATGTAATTGAATAGCTCCTGGAAGTTATTTGTTGCAAGGTATGATGCAAGAATTATTTCTGGATATTTTCAAAACAATGCTAATTTCAGATGGAAATTGTGTTGGTATTAATCAACTTTTGTCATCAAATAATCATTTTATGTAAACAACTTTTTTTGCGATTCTAACTCTATAGAAAGTTTTGTAGCTAAAAACTTACCTGGCGGAAACGTGGTCTTTTTCTTTGCACTTATTTCCTCGTTAGCTGGGTTGTTCATATCAATAACTACGTCATTTGAGTCGTCTGAAACTCGTTCCACATGTGATAGTCCGCTCTTTGCTTCTTGCAACTCTTCTACCATGTGATTATTATCCATTGGCATTAACGGCACTGATTCGGGCTCTGTACTCGACGAGGGTCCCGAATTTGAATCTGGTTTTGGGCCCATTTTTGATGATAGTTTTTCAAATGAAACTTGTTTTTTTTTGTGTCTGAAATATTGCAATATTTGTGTGAAAACTATTTAATGGTAACTCTTTGAATGAAGATTGCGTTTTAATGATTTATGTTACAGGCAGACGTTCGTTTGACAAATAAAATCCAAGTTTTGGGTTTTGACGATAGCAGCAAGTTTTGACAACAATAATCGATTTAGACGCAATTGATAGCTGGTCAAACAAGTTCTTTGAATGTGTAGCAATCAGCGATCCGTATCAAAACATGCAGTTCTGATAAAGCTGTCACAGCATGTATACGCCACAATCCAATTAGCAAAACTCAAATAAATTGGCGTTCAAAGCAGCTTATTAGTCGTTCGACTGAACTTGTAGCGTTTTATTTTGCAAAACGAATATATTTTTGGTTACTATGTAAAAATAGGAAATATTTACAATTTGTTTTATCCTTGCCGCAGATGTCAATAACTGCATTGAAACAATGGAATTTAATTTTTCAGTTTTTTTGAAAATTTTGTTAGAAAACAGTCTGAGCAATTTTGTTTAAACAGGAAATGAAAGGTAACCTAATTCCCCTAACGCGGATAAAAGTTATTCTTTTTCAAATATGCATTTGGGGAGAGCGCAAGAGGAAAATTAGGTTACCATAAGGTGCGTCGCTTTCATATATTGAAAAATAAACATACGTTTCAAATATATACCTGTGACTCCCTAATTTACCTGCAGCAGAAATAGTACCAAGGAACCTTATTAGAGAGAGGGACATTACTCAATTAGGCGAAAAGTTACTTAAGATATTCCCAAAAAAGATACTCCAAAGACTTAGGGCAATGAAAAAAGGCTAGTCATTTTTTAGTCTAAAAAAAGCGGCAGGGTAAGAAACCGATATTTATAATATTAAAATGTGGTGGTCATATAAAAACTTTGAGGTATTTATGTGGGTATATTGGGCAGAAAAATTCAGCAAGGGATTAAATTCGAGGACGGGTAAAGTAGATCAGGTATGTGACAGAAAAGTAACAAGTTAATGCATTTTCAGGTAGCCATTGCTGCGTCTTTTTTGACTTAATTCACCATGGTTGAATATAATACAAGGGTAATAAAGTCAAAATTATACGGTCACCTAGCCTTTTTCAGCTTCAGCAGCTTTTAAATTAAGTTATTAAAGGGGTGACCATTGCGCCGCGTAAAATATCATTTTAAAAAAATTGATATAAAAGCTCATGGGTAAAAAATAGATAACAGACTAACGTTATTGCATTTTTTATTTCACAAAAAGACAAAAAAAACTTAGAAAGTTACATGCAGAGTGAATGACTGAACGAACGTACAACGTATGCACTACTTACCAGTTGACAAAACTGCAAAAATATGAATCACATAGAGTAAAAGTTTTTTTAACGCGATGTGATTTTTATGAGCCAATTTAAATTATAAGTCATTAGCTCAGGTAGAGTTTTACGCCCATTAATAGTAGCTGACAGGCCTAAGCATGCAAAAAAAATCAGCATTAAGTCCCCCAAAAACATAAAGCTAGTATTGAAGTCAGTTCTGTCTAGTCCCCCTGTCATATTTTTTCGCATTTTCAAAAATTATTCAACTGAACAGTCCAAACTCACTCTGAAAAAACTTGTTGCTCCGACTATTTTTGAAGAAAACAAGACAGTTTGTATAAAAGGACAAAGCCATGAAGGTTCCGACTGCCCCTTTATCCATATCAAATAGTTTTTCGGAAAAAGAAAATATTGAAAATTTTGAAAATACCAAAAATCAAGTATCAAAATTATAATGATTTTTATAGCATAAATCAGAATGCGGTCGATTTTGCCATTTTGAAACTTTGCTAAAAAAATTGGAGGTAAAAATATCTTCTTAATTTTGATTTCAGGGAAACGATATCTTCGATAGGGCATAAAAATGTTTTGTTGAAAAAGATTATTTCAATCGCCGAAAATTGACTGAATAAAAAACTCACATTAAGCATAACTATTCTGTTTTCTTCGAATGACGCAGGGGCGGATTTAGGGGGGGGGGCGGACGTTTCTCTCTCAGGGATTCGACCCCCTGCCGACCCAAAAAGTCTCCCCCTTAGTACTTTTTAAGAATCCATTTTTGGCCGATCGACCCTAATATTTTTCTAAAGTCGCCTTCGGCGCTAATATATACTAACTTTGAGTGGGAGTTCGCGCCAAAAAACGCGATTTTTTTTGTCAAAACTTTCCAAAAATCCAAAAAGTGCCCAAAAACGTTTTTTTTTACCTGTTTTTTCAAAAATTTGCCTGCGGCGCAGAAAATTTGGCCACAACAGCGTCTTTTTAGTGCTCTAGGAGAGCTCGGAAAATCAATTTGGACAACCGAAAAAAACTCGTCAAAAATTTTCAAATTTTTTTTTGAAAATCCGCCCCCCCCCCCTCGAGAAAATCCTAGATCTGCCCCTGGAATGACGTAAAATTTGTGCTCGGGGTAGCTTTTTTCAGACAAATTTCCAGACAATTTTTAAAGAGACATTTTTGACATAATTTTTTTAACATCAGCGGAAAGGTATTGATGTCCTGACTTCATTTTCAAAAAGATATTTCACCTGTGATTTTCAATTCTAGCAGTTGCATGGTTCTTAACACCATAGAGCTTTCTAGCTGAAAATCAGAATGACCAATTAGAGTCGAGAATCGTTTCAGGGGAATTACATTTATACAGGTTTTCCTTACTTTTCTCTGTCGGAAGTTATTTGAGAAAAAAATCATATGGAACTGATAACTTCATTTGTTGAGTTCTTTGGCTGTTATAACCAATTAAACAGTCTGGCAGGCAATCCACTTCAAATTTGGAGAGTCATTTTGAATTACCAAGCGCGTAATGTGGTTTTTGCGATTCGCAGACGATCTATGGTCACTTTTCGAATTGTTTTCACTTATTTCAGAGATTAAGTTATGTTGAGCGAAACTCAAAGCAGTTTGCTTTGCCTATGGAACTTTCGGATCTGTGTAACCAATTTTGAGTGGTGTGCTGCCAGTAGGTGGACAACAGCGTAAACAGTCAGTAAGTAGACAAAATTGACAATATTCAAACTTGAAAAAGGATATTGGAGGTAAAATCCGTCTTAGAAATCTATCCAAATTAGCCTGGGTCATACAATTGGCCGACAAACTCGAATCATTGGTCGAACCAGGTTGAATCATGGGTCAAACAAGCTTGAACGGAGTTAAATTATGGGGCCGAGCCATGAGTGGCATAGGGTCAAATAATGGGTAAAATTTAGCGTTTGCCGATTAATCTAGTAAATATGTGTGGTTGATTGGTAGTTAGCTAGACCAACATATTTGCTGATCATGTACACAAACTTTTCTGATTTTTTTTTGAAATCCGAGTGATGACTTGAAAGAATCAAAATTACGCTAAGGTTTAAAACAAAATTGTCAACTAACACGCAATAATTATCCCAAAATGATCATGTTCCGACTTTCGTAGCGAACGTAACGGAATATTTGTGCTCGAGATGTTTTTTTTTCTTCAGACAAACTTCGACTTTTCAACAAACCATCTTTGACGGAATTTTTTTTAAATACCATTCAAAAGGTGTTGTTGTTTTGAGCTTAAATTTGAAAAGTTATTTCATGTCATGTTTATTTATGTCATTTTTTTGGTAAAGCTATGGCGGTTTTTAGATTGCCATTTTGGCCAAATTGGGAGAATTAACGCTCGATATATTTCGTGCTTTTAACGCGTACGCGGAAATTTAATCCGTCTTAGAAACCATTCTAAGTAGGTTGAAGGAAGCTTAGTTGCATTAGTTGCTTTGTTAGTAGGAGCGAAACCTTTCTCTTTGTACTTAATATGGCGTGTGGGGAATGATTTCAACAAAAAATCTCAAAATTGAAAAAAAAAGTTGTTTTTCATTACATTTAATTTTTTCACGATATTACTGTTCCATAGACCTTAAAAAGCAGTCAAAACATTCAGGGCTTCGCCTTGATACAAGCACACTTGGCTTAGTTCCGATTTGAAATAACTTTGACTTCACGAAAAACTGTCACACATAAAAAAAAGTATTTAGTTTTGATATCAAAACAATAACAAGACTGGCCGTATTAGGGCGAGGCCCTGAATGTTCCGACTGCCTCTTAAGGTCTATGAAGCAGTTATCACATGAAAAAACTAATTTTTTAAATAAAAAATAAGGATTTTATTACTCTGAGATTTTTTGTGAAAATCATTGCCCCACACATCATATAAAGTACAAAGTGATAGATTTTGCTTGTAGTAACAAATCAATTATGGCAAGTAAGCCTCCTTCTACCAATTTGGAACAACTTCTCAGACCAATTAACTCTCCGCTTGCGCGTTAATAGCGCGAAAAATATCACGCGTTAATTGTCCCCAATTGGCCAAAATTTCAATCTTTAAACCCCCATAACCTTACGAAAAACGATGACAGGTGAAATATTTTTCCAAATTTAAGCTCAGGACAACGATACGTTTTGAACGAAATAAAAAAATCCCGTCAAAAATGGCTAGTTAAAACGTCGAAATTTGTCTGAAGGAAAAAAACCCACCCCGAGCACAAATATTCCGTTACTTTTGTTACAAAAGTCAGAATATTAACTTCAGATGTTCAAACAAATTTCATTCAGAAATTTTAGAAAAAAATGAACTCGCACTGAACAAAAAAAGTGACAAGCGTATTTCTTAATGTTCTCTGAAAGTCGGAACGACAAGAGTAGCTCGTTTGTTATGGTGATAACAAGTTTTGACAATAATTGACTTCATATTTGACAATAATGGACTTTTTATGATACTACACTTGACCTTCTGCATTTTTTTTTTGTGAGGTAGTACCGAAAAATCGACACATATCCAAAGTCCTTCTCACTCTTGGAGAGTGGTAGAAACAATAAAAAGTAGTGATTATTAGTTTTATCCGAGAAAAACTGTCGAATTGAAAGCTTTGGACATTTTGGTCCCAATTCGGATGTTGCCGATTCGGGTAAAAAAAACTCTCCGAGGCGCTATCAATGATTTAATCCATTAATTCATCTCATGAGCAGGATACTCGTGAGTACTGAGTCAGACGGGTATAGATCAGATCAAGCGGAGCTATACATCAACGAACGCGAACAGAAAGAGACTATGGGAAGTAATATTCTGCTATGATCAGTCAGTAGAAGTACAGCAAAACTTGTCAGAAGCTAATCATTTGAATGAACAGGGACAGACCAAAATATCCCTCATTCATCTGCCCAACTTAACTTGACTTTATTTCTCTTTCATAGATCATGGACCTTTTTGAACGTGAAAAAAAAACGTAGAAAAATTGTTAGATTTGAACTTTATTCATAGTAAACAATGATAAAAATAAGCATCAAATGTCAAATATAGCGTATAATGACATACAGCGCATAAAATGACACAGCGGATAATGCCGCTTGGGCAGTTAGCGTAAGTACACTCTTAAAATGTTCACGTGTTCTTACTTGAAAAATTGCGTGTTTAAAAAGACCACGGAGCTACTTGAAGTTTCAATTAAAACACGTAATTTTTCAATTGTTTTTTTTTTCAAACGTAACAACGAGAGCATTGAATTGCGCACGAGTTTTAACTTGAGTTTTTGTGGAAAAAAAACATGAAAACTCAAGTGTTTTTTTTAGGTTATAGTCGATTGCTCGGCTCTTTTCAACTTCGCTCCACATTTCAAAGCTTCTATTCAGTAGTTGTTTTACGTTTTATTATTGCTAAATGCGTGATGTTACGAAGATAGTTATGATAGGAATGAATTTGTTCACAATAGTTAGTTGGATCACAATGCCAAATTTCACTGCATTATGCCTATGTTGAAATGGTTTTTTTAAAGTTGAATTTCATATATGGGGAAAGTGGAAAAGAGCCGATTGCTCACATGTTTTTGTACATTCAACTTATACTTGAGTTCCAGCGAGTGATGTTCGCAATGTTAGGGCACCTACTGGGAGTTCATATTTACTTGGGTATTCCATCATAGCAACCCAGGCCAAGAAAAAAACGTGTATGATAAATGTCTAAACAGTGTTGGATAACGATATGTGTGGTAAAAGTCAAAACGAGCAAAATAACATTTTTTAGCACAAGCACAAAAGATTGAATGAATAAAATTTAAGGTCCAATCAAGAAAGTTGTTACCGTTGAACGCCAAGTAGAGTGGAATTACGACGGGATAGTGGATTAGTTTTTAGTCTAATTTAGTCTAATAGTCGAGAAGATATCATATAAAAACACATCTAGAACCGATACCTACATCTAGAAAATATCAAAAGCTAATCAACTAAATTTTTCATTGTTCCAAACTCATATATGGTAGGAATAGAAATTTGAATTTGGGTGTGTTCAGGGGCGGATCTAGGATTTTCTCGAGGGGGGGCGGATTTTCAAAAAATTTTCCAAAATTTTGACCTTTTTTTTTTTAGGTCGACCAAAGCACTGTTTAGCCCCTATGTTGGCTAAATTTTCTGCGCCGAAAATGATCAGAAAATTATATAAGGGCAGGATATTTGGGCGAGGCAGGATATTTAATTTATCCTGCTCATGAGATGAATTAAATCTTTGATAGCGCCTGAGAGAGTTTTTTTCACCCGAATCGGCAACATCCGAATTGGGATCATAATGTCCAAAATTTTGACAAAAAAAATGCGTTTTTTTGGCGCGCGCTCCCCCTCAAAAATAGCATATATTGGCGCCTAAGGCGCCTTTAGAAAAATTTAAGGGTCGGTCGGCCAAAAAATGGATTTCTGAAAAAGTATCAAAGGGGGGACCCTTTGGGTCGGCAGGGGGTCAAATCCCTGAGGGGGGGCGTCCGCCCCCCCCCCGCTTCCCCCTAAATCCGCCCCTGGTTGTGTTTTTCCACGTAATTTTGACTGACAATGTGAGAAATTGTAGAAAGAGGTGAGATATCAAATTTAAGCACTTCTTGTTGTAGTTTGAGCTGCAATAATAAATGTTACAATTTTTTTTTTAATTTTGAGATAAATCGGATAGCTTTTTTGGGCAAAATTTCGATTTTTATGAGATAATGTATGTACAATTAGTTAAGTTTTATCCAGGGGTTGAATATAATTTTTTCGAGGGAGGGGGCGGATTTTCAATAAGCTTTCGAAAATTGTGTCGACACTTTTTTAGGACCAAATTGATTTTCCGATCACTACCAGAACACTATAATGACCCTATTTTGACAAAAAAAAATTCGCACAGGCAAATTTTTGAAAAAGCAGGTAAAAAAGCCGTTTTTGACGTTGCTTGGAAAATTTCGCCAAAAAATTGCGTTTTTTTCGGCGTGCACTTCCCTTCAAAAGTAGTTTATATTGGCACCGAAGGTGCCTTTAGAAAAAATTTACGGTTGGCCGGCCTAAAATGGGCCTTTTGGTAGGTGAAGGGTTCGAATCCTTGAGAGGGGAGGGGGATGTCGGCCCATTCCCCACTCTTAAATCCGCCCCATATTTATCTAATGCAACTAAAAAAGAACATGATTTATTTCTCACCAATATAATTACTTTTAAAAACGCAAAAAACGCTCTCCTAAAATTCAAGATCAACAGCGTGATTTACCCTTGCATCCCACTTTCTTTTCCTGAATTTTTTTTCCTATAATTACCACAGTCAAATGTTGTGCTGCTTGCAGAGCGGTCAGCTAATCGTATTCGAAATTTGATAATACTTCAATAAAATAATTTTGTACAGCCCTAATAATCCAATCACTGTTAAAGTCTTTGCCAAAAGTGAAAAAAGCCCCTTTTTGACCTTTTTTGAGAAAAAGCCCCTTTTGACCTTTTTGATAAAAAAACCTTTTTGACCTTTTTGAGAAAAAGCCCCCTCTCTGACCTTTTTGTTGACAAAAGTTACATAAGCTTAATTATTGATTTAAATGTTTTTAAGAGTGGAAGTTCTTTACCCTAAGGGCATGGGGGAATAGTTAGCAAAAACCCATGTATGAGTCAAGATTGACGTCTTTTAGCCTTGTGAAACTTAAGTTCTGAGCTTCAAGGCACGGTGCATATACAAAACAGACCCATACAAAACAGTCCAATAAAAAATAGTCCGAAAAAACATGTAATGGAGGAAAAACCGGTCCAATACAAAACAGCTTGGCTTAAGGTCGGCGGTGGGCGCGCTGCGAGCGCGTCGCCACTTCGCGGCGATAACCGGCTCTAAATTACGTATTAAGTCGTACACTCTATTGGCAGGCTCGCAACACGTTGGCGCGACTGCGGCGGTCACTATTTTGTTCATTATGTTTGTTGAACAAAGGAAAATTCTCGGCGTACCGGCTTGTTAAAACAATTATTATTGGGACTTTTTTTCAAACTGTTTTTATTGGAATGTTTTTTTAGTTCATTTTCAGGGTGCCATACATGAAACCGACGGGACTTGAAGCCGAATCGTATAATGAGGGACTTCAAGCAGAACATTTTGAAAAAAAGTTATGAAATATGATTAATTTGAAAACTGTTTTGATCTCAATTTTCTCAATTTCATCAGCTTGCTTAACAAATTATTGGCTTCTTAATTATTTTTGAGCCTCTAATTGATGTTTAGGAATATGAAAATCTGAAACATTTTTCATAGGGTTTTTAATGTGTATAATTTATGCATTTCAAAATCCGGATTATCTAACTTTCTGATGCCAAACTTAAGTGGTGCATTGTCATGAAGAACGCTCATGACGAACTGTACTTGCCTATTTTTTTTTCAAAATAAATATTGTAATGATAAAAATTATCGTTTTTTGGTGATTGTAATGTTTAAATTTCGGCTTGAAGTCCGTCGGCTTGTTGTCCTGGACCCCGTTTCCGGACTGTTTTGTATGGGACTGTTTTGTACAGACACGCCGCAGCACATCTTATGGTTTTGTATCAAACAGCAAAATACTGCGACACAGTAAGAGCTTACCTTTAAACCAACTGGTAAAGAAACCAATTTTTAAACAATATATGCGTTGGAGCCAACAAAATTTTCATAAATACTGGAAAATTTTGGTCTCTGCTTGGAATGATTTCAAAATTGAACAAAAACTACTGTAGACGTAATTCAGAAATGCAATAGCGATTTATTCAGTTTTTAACCGTAAAATGTATTCAAAATACATAATGACCAGATGGTTTTATTGGCGGTTTATGAGCAAGAATTAAATTCTGTGTGGTTGATGCAAAAAACAATGAAACGAAAAAAACTCGCCACTTGTATTAAGTATACATTACAAGCGACCACGTCTGTTGCAAAGTATCAGTGCAAAGCAAATTGTATTGACTCGATAGCTAATAAATTGTGCTGAAATTTTTTGAAGTTTTATGCCAACTAAGTTAAAAGCGCTATTAGGAATTTGCTCAACCAAAGCTTTCAATAAGTTTGCAACGAGTAAGTGCTTATATATTTCACAATCACTTCTAGTTTCAACTAAAATAGAATGGGAATACAGTTTTCCCAAAGTTTCAGTTTAAAGGCCAGAAGCTACCAGTGAAGTGTTTGTGTTTGGATAAAATTCTGATCACCTAAATCCAAGTTTTTCCGTGCCGCGTTTATTGATAAGAGCTGGAAGAGTGTTCTAATTTGTGTGTCATTGGTTCACTCTCAGAAGCGCACAGAAAACACGCCAATAGCTTTTCGGGTTAGCTTTGAATGAACAAGATTGTATTTAGCGCTAGAATAATTTATGGCATGTTTTTATCCCGGCCAGGGCCAGGTTGTGGTTTTATGATCAGACGGTGTTTGATCTTTGGTATCTTTGGCAAAGATCACCGATCTTTGGTATTTTCTGAGCCAAAGTATGCAAAACCAAAAAAACGTCTGCTCGACCCCTCCGGCGAACCAGGAAAGCTTATCCGCGACCAGCGCAACCGAAGCTTAAAGTATCTCCGGCCGACCGACCGGGCGACTCCACTGATGCATTACAAAATGCGATTAAATGACATGGTAAAAGATCCCGAAAATCTCACCCAGCTACAGGGGCGGAACTAGGATTTTCTCGAGGAGGGGGGGGCTGATTTTGAAAAAAATTCAAAAATTTTGTCGACCTTTTTTTTGGGTCGACCAACTTGGTTTTTGAGCTCGCCCAAATCACTGTAAAGAACCTATTTTAACAAATATTTTTCTGAAAAAAGAGACCAAAAAGGCTTTTTTAATTTTTTTGGAAACTTTTGAAAATTTTGACCATAAAATTTTTTTTTCGGCGCGCGCTTCCCCCTCAAAATTAGTATATTTTGGCGCCCAAGGAACCTTTAGAAAAATTTTGGGGAGAGAAATTCAAAAAAGTACAAAGGGGGGAAACTTTCCCTTTGCGTCGTCAAGGGGTCGACTCCCTGAGAGAAGCGGCATCCGCTGCCC